CTCCTCTTCAAGTTGAAGAACCAAGTTTCCTACTGAGCCACTGTGTCTTCCCCTCAGTTCCGGTTGAGCAGTGTTCAGAGTAACACTTGATTCAGCATTATCTATTCAATAAACCTGTTAAACCTTTCCCCTTGTCTCTCTGAATTGGTTTCTCTCCATGTTGGTTACGAGCTCTTGATAAAACCATGACAAGATGAATTAGAAATACCTAAATTGTTTTTCATTGACAAAACATTTAAGCCTTAAACTGAAAATGTTTCTTTATTTTAGGCAACACACTTGATTAGCATTAGGATTAGGTAAGTTCAATATTTAGGTTAGCACAATATCAGCCAGCTTCATTTTATAAAATAAAATTACATGGTGTATAACTTTGGCAAGGCTTAGAGTAATTCAGAGAATATTTAGTTGTAAAGAAAGCATAAAAATTTGGGATATTGCATTTTTTTAAATTGATGTCAATTTATTTAGGCATATCAGCAGATCCTTCACACTGAGCTTTTGTTTCTGTTAAGTTTTTATTTTTTTGAGTTCTCAAATATGCTTTGTTTAGTTCTTTATTGTTCTCTAGATGTACATAATTTTTTGTTCCCCCTAATTCTTTGTTAGACCTACAGTATATTAATCTCACCACTAGTTGGAGTGAAGAAGCCTCTTGGATGAGAGGAGAAACGTCTTCCAGAAATCTTCACTTCCAGTTGCCTAGACTTAACTCCTTCAAGCTTTTCCATGACCTGGATGACTGAGAAACTTCACAGATATAACTTTTTGTATTCTTAGTTTTGCTGCTCCTTAGTGTCCTTTCCTTTCCCCTTAGGTCCTTCTATTTACTCTATCCAAACCTGTTCCCCATTAGCTAATCAGTCCTCTAATTGCTTCTATCTACCATATATACACCTCCTGTTCAGTTCCTCATTCCTGGATTCTTTAGGTTTATTCCTCCTCAGTGTCTCCTGGTTTTTTGGTTCTTGGATTTTCTTGTCGATTGGTTCTGGACTATAGATTTTGTATTTCTTCTTCTTCATTAAATTTTTCAAGTAATGATCTCTGAATCTTCTAGTGCATTTGGGCCAATACAACATCCACCAACCCTGACAGAGCTAGGTTCTATAAGTCCTTTACTTGATGCAGACTGATGGGTTATAAACTTTAGTAACCAATTACCAGGCGTACATTGCTAAATTTATACTAAATGACTCATTCAATTTCAGCTCTGAGGCAGACTAGAGCTTATCACAGTATTCAATGGACAAAACTCATAGCTTGAAATTTGTCTACATTATCAAAAGAAATTTATAGAAATTGTAAAACCAGCAGTGTACACACACACTTGCACACACTCAAAGGACTTTTTCAAAAATCAATGTTCTTTACTGTTATCATTTTCACTACCCGATCTGTACCGGTAGAACAATCTGTAGAATCAGCTGATTTGCGCAACAAGATGTAAATCCGGGTCACCCTTAATTTCTCTTTGTAAAACAGACCTAAATTAAGTGTTTTCATCCCTAAAAATAGTAAGAGTACTAACCTATAATGTGTTAAAGGTTAATAAAATATTTCCTGAGAAAATGAATGCATTTAAAATCTTTCTGTTTTATCAATCGTCTGTTCCCGATCTGTACCAGAAATAGGACCATACACTACTTCCAGGAGCTAACTTTTTCAGCTTTGGCTTTAAACATAAATCTAGTCTTTTTTTATTTAGTTTTTTCCTTTCGTGTTAACATTATGGTATATAGTGCTAAACAAGACATGAAACATAACTGTAATGCTAATAAACATGGTTTTATCATATTTTGCCGGACTGCTCTGAGCATGTCCCATGATGACATCAGAGAAGCTGTTTAACGGAGAAAATGGAAAAATCATCAAATTGTCTCAGAAAGTAATTAAAACATGTTTAAAGATCTGTATTAGCATTCTTTAGTGAGTTAAGGATATAAATAAGAATTTTTTGTAGCATAATTACATTATTTATGACGACCTGATGAATATCTGTTTTGCGGACGCGCAAATGAGCTGATGGTACGGATTGTCCTTCCGGTACGGATCGGGTAGTGACAATCATGAAACCGTAAAGACATTTTGCAGAGCCTCAAACTGACCTGCCAAACAAATGTTTAGCCTTTGGGGGAAAGCCAGACTACATAGAGAACAAATGTGTAGCTACTGGAAAAACATTTAAGTTCTATAATAATTAAGTTCAGCTACTCAAGTCATCAGTAGAATATGTAACTCACCAAAACACTTGCTAAGGTTGGTCTGTTTGTCAATGAAAACCTTCGCTGAGATCACATTTCCGAAGGGCAAAAACATCTGCAACAGATCCTGGTCTCCAAACTCCTGGGGTAAGTGGTAAATGAAAAGGTTTGCTCCTTCTGGACCTGCAAAAAAAGGCCTCTGTCAAAGTAAAAAAGAACTTAAGATCAAAGGGACCATGAAAAATGGCTTCCTCTAAACCTGCCCACCATTCTGAACTAAAAGCAAATGACCAAATATCAAAACCCCATTTGGCAGCTGTGCTTTCTGTCAAATCAGGCACAGAACTGACGAAGCATTTCACAAATAAGAAATAGGAAAATTAGTTACATTGTTCAAGTACCGCAGGAAATCTGAGTGGCAGTCAGCTCTCCAAGGACTCTCCAAGTCCTTACTTATTCCCACATTTTGACTGAGTGCTACAGTATGGGTTTGGAAGTTTTTGAATGACACTGCCCATTAAAGCTAGTGTTTCAATTAGTGTTGCACCGATGCCATTTTTTGGCCCCGATACCGATACCCGATACCTGGCTGTGCAGTATCGGCCGATACCGATTCCATAATAATG